AAAGCGTTCGAAGAAGAATTGATTATGCGCACTAGTGCCTAGCCTAAATCACTTAGGAAGTGCAAATGCTGATCACCTCTTTACTCTTCATGTAATTTGGTCTTTCAGCTTGATCTTCCATCTATGTTAGTTAGTTAAAAATCTGAAAACTCTTATGTTAAATGGTTTGATATATTCCCGAATTATTGAGAATCTATACGTTACGCTTCAAATCCTTTAAAACTTGGGTGGTATCTGAGTAAGCACTACATCACTGAGCAGTTGAATTCTGTGAACGCATATTCCAAAAAATTGCCTCAGAATCTGATTTTTCCCCTGAAAACAACTTCTTTAAATCAAAATTAGGGTTACCTCGTATCAGTGAAATTTTAATCTAGTTTATCCGAGTGCAAGTTGAATGGAAGCACCACTGATTCCTATTGTTCGTTTGATTTGTTTCACATATCATTTATTCTGTGTAAATTTTGTGAATTTTTATATTTTGTACTCCTTCAAGCACTGAATATTGAAGAAATCATGAAACTGCTGATTTAAATGGGGCGATGTACTCACCTCAAAAAAATACACATATTTGAGAAAATTCACACAGTTAATGCTATTTCGCGGGTGATTTCTTGGATTTTTTGCTTTTGAGTAGTCGCGGGTAACTTGTTGTTGGGAGAATGATTATCTAATGGTGAGAATGCTTATCTAGATTTGAAGTTATTTGATTAAATATTCAACGATCACAGCTGAACTTTCTGGTTTGTTGGCAAATTGTAAGCACTGATTTTGTAGGAATAAAAATATCATGTGGTTGAAGGACCTCACTGAGCCTTGTCATGTTCTGGAAGTTGTTATGTGTTATGTATATAAATGGATATGAAAAAATGCATAGATTCCATCCGTAAACGTTTGAAAATAAATCTGATTTTTGATGTGTCGGCGAATTTTGAAGTGTGACAAATTGTCTATGCGACGAGGAATTATGAAAAATCTGTTGATAGAAAGCAGAAAAATGTTTAAATGATGAGATTTTTGCTGAATATGACCAGGTGATAATCAGTTTAGGTTCATCGCAGCAGTACAATGAGATGTGAAGACCAATGGCAAGTATTGTAGTTCCTAAATTGTTTTCCACGTGAAATTTTTGAAATACCAGTGGATGAACGGCCAGAAACGAGGTGTTTTGAACGGTATAACAAGGATGAAAATAAAACGAATAGACATCTGGCAAAAGAAGAATGCATAAAATCAGGATGCTTCTGGGAGTTTCAAGGCATCGCATTCAAAAAAAATCACTTTTCAACAAACTAAAACGCAATTAAAGTTTGCTTTGCTATTCCAGGTCAATCATGTGGTACCGTTCGTCCTGTCGCGTAAACTTCTGAAGCTACTCGAGAAGAATAAACCATCGCGTATCATATTCGTGAGCAGCATCTGTTATGACTGGTTATCATTGATTGATATCTTTTTTAATGCCAATTTTAATCTATCTAATTATCGAGTTTTACTTTTTCTTTGCTATTCATCATTCCATTTTGATTGCATTTGATCAATGAGCAAAATGATTGTATTCAACGTTCGTATTTCCGTTTCCAAGCAATCCATGTTCATAGAAAGCTAGCTATTCAGCTTCAACATATTCTACGATGCAATCGTTTTCAATAAGGTGCTAGAATGAGCAAGGAGATTGATAAAATCTCGCTTTAGCCTGTCGAACAGACACTCAGCAGGTACGTATCTACAGGAAACGTTGTGATTCAGGCATCCGCTAGTATGGGACGATATGGAGAGTCGAAAGGACTATGAGAAGTATGTGCAGTATTCACGTACCAAACTTATGCATCATATGACGGCATTTAAACTGGCTCGTCTTGTCGAAGGAACTGGTGTGACGTGCAATGTTCTCGAGCCTGGTGTCATTGAGACGAAACTTTTACGGTGAATCCAAAACTTATTTCAGTGATTATTCCCCTATTACACATTTGAAAGTAACAATGCTTCAGTCCTATGATTCAAAACATTAGTTCCTGTTCTTAATCATCA